CTTGAGTGCTTAGCAAACCTCCCAAGTGCATCCATAGCTCAATAGTGTACGCTGTGGTGTTTACCATTTGTTTTATAACATAACATTGATACATTGTAGCTAGAGAGTTCCCTTTTATTTAACAAATCTTACGTGAGCAGAAAAACAAGCGCGCGGGGAAAAATAGTCTTTGCATTTGCTCACGTCAGCAGCGTACATCCATGGGCAAATGGGAGACGCTAAATTGACCAATCATAGCGCGCGCTTTACTTTGGTTGTGTTATAAATTCTTTTATAAGCTATTATTTTGGTTAAGAGCATGTCAAGCAATCAGGAACACAACAGAAAGAGTAGTTTGAGAGTAAAAAAGCTGAAATTAAATGAGTATCATTTAATTTCAACTTTCATCAAAATTAACAAGCCTTTCAAAAGACTACAGACTGCACTGAACTTACTCGTTGAGCAATTTTTTTAGTTTTGAAATAATTAATCAACCAATGCTTCTTTGTAATATATTTCACTCCAAATCACTGGTAACCTTTCTAAATAACTTGTTCCTATGAATAAATGCAACTGATGAGCAGTAAGAAGAACAACAGTCCCCTCCCCCCCCACCCACATAGAATTTTATCAAGTATCCCTAGTCCTACCCTCTGAATTAAGACTTACATTTAGTTATTGTGAAACACGATAATGAAAATCGATTCAGTCCTAAAATGAGTCTGGAAACTTACCATATATACCAGTAACCAGTGAGATAGTCACAGCAGATATCGTCACCACAGCAATATTCGTTATAATTACACCTACAAAACAAATTAAGTACTACATTTATAAAAGTCATCTCGGCTGGTTTTCCATGGTCAATCTAACCGTAAAATTTAATTTTTTTATTGAAAAGTCAAGAAAGGTCAACAGAATTTAATGAATTTTGGATTTCAACCCTCCAAAATTTTCAACTTCAGTCAAGGAGGTTCTAATTACTTAAAGTATCCATCAACACGGTTTAAGTTAGTTTCTATGAAGACTACTTTTGCTTTCTTTGAAGGCTGTGCTCTAGCAATGCCCGGTGGCCCTAGCGCCTTACGTTTGCTCTTGGGCGACTCGGAAATTTTAGTTTTTTCATACAAAGCATATGCTGGGCACCCTGGATTTCGCAGTTTCAGAGCACTGGGCTCCATTCAATTTTCCTTAGAGCACAGCCTTGTCTTTACACTTGTTATAAACCAAACCCCTTCTCTGTTACCCCTTAATAAGCACTATGCGTCGATAATTCTGGCCCTCCTAATGAGGGACTCCAGGTCTATTGACTAAGTGATATAAACTACAACTGTACATGTGCCTATAGTGAATTGCAATCGAGCTTTGTTAAAAGATGTAAAACAGTAATCACGATGGTCAGACGTGGGATAAAAGGGTAAAAAACTTAACAGGGAATAAAATTGGAACTTTAAGAGTACAAGCAAGCCTAGAAGCTGAGGGGTTGGAAAACGCAAAAGTGCACAAGTTGCAGTCAAATTTAGTTTTGCATCTGATTGGCTGTGAGAGAGGTGCGCGTTTTTTTTTAGACCAGTAAAGTTGTAAAGCAAAGCAAAATCAGTGCATTAATGGATTGATTTTGACACTCAATAAGAATCACACTGTTAAAACTTACCAGTCACTTCTGCAGTAATAGGAACCCTTCACCTGTAGGGCCAACGAACGAGAGGATACGGTGAGAGAAGATCAATCACTGATTTAATTTAATTCAATATGGGTTTCTTCTTCGAATCTCTCCCCAAAGATTATCTTAATTCCTTCTTATTTCACACCAGAAAAGAATTATATCGAAGTGAATTTGAAAGATTTAAGAGCGCATATTTTCAAAGTATGAAGATCCTTATGGCAACCATTTTCAAATGGAACTGAATTGCAAGGCCATTGAGGCACATTTCCGTTTTTTGCTCTGAAACTTTGGTGTAATATCATGCCTTTGTAAATGTTTTGCACGATATGATCGTCTTGAAAGCTCCTATATTTCAAGATCAATCCTATTGACTGGGTTGAACTGAACCTAGAAATGCGCTAGCGTTCATCAACACTAGTATAGCCCACTCCATGATAAAATTATTTAACGAATCTCCAGCTATCCTACAAACGCACAAAAACAAACGATAATTTTCTTAGAGAGTTCGAGCTTACTTAGGATAAGCTAGGTCATAATGAACTTTGTGCGTGGCTTTTAAGAGTGGACGTATTAAATTAATATGGCGTCTAAGCGCCAACAAGAGAAAACATGCTGAGGTTATCGTACGTAAGATGCTTAGATAAGTTACTTCTATTAGAAATATCTTGAGGATGTTAAAAATCCTTACCCAAGCCTTAGTTACCGAGAACAGTGTTATTGTCCAGATATAAGTGGGTAAAACAGCCATATACGTGTATCTCCGGCCATTCGCCGCCTCACATCGTAATTCAAACGCAGACAAACTTGAAAAAATAAATGCGCATAGTAATGATCTGGCTCTTAAACACGTAGCGTCACGCTTGAAGTAGTAACGCCTTGCGGGAAAATAGACTGTTCGTTTGATTACAGCGATTTTGTTTTTCACTGTTAGTGACGTTTCCTGAAATTCAGCCTAACTTAACAAAATAAGTATTGTAGTTTTTAATTTTAAATCATTGCCTACAAAAAATAAGTCGAAGATCTTTTCTTGAAGAGATGATGATCTTCTCCAATACCACAAACGTTAGCAGACCATGTGAAGTGAGTGAGTGAAAACCTTTATTTAACTTCGAATTACAGATAGCAAACAACTATGCTAATATCTTCGAAGATAAAAAATAAAAATTAAATAGACCAAACAATTATGTTTAGAAATAANGTTACTTCTATTAGAAATATCTTGAGGATGTTAAAAATCCTTACCCAAGCCTTAGTTACCGAGAACAGTGTTACTGTCCACATATAAGTGGGTAAAACAGCCATATACGTGTATCTCCGGCCATTCGCCGCCTCACATCGTAATTCAAACGCAGACAAACTTGAAAAAATAAATGCGCATAGTAATGATCTGGCTCTTAAACACGTAGCGTCACGCTTGAAGTAGTAACGCCTTGCGGGAAAATAGACTGTTCGTTTGATTACAGCGATTTTGTTTTTCACTGTTAGTGACGTTTCCTGAAATTCAGCCTAACTTAACAAAATAAGTATTGTAGTTTTTAATTTTAAATCATTGCCTACAAAAAATAAGTCGAAGATCTTTTCTTGAAGAGATGATGATCTTCTCCAATACCACAAACGTTAGCAGACCATGTGAAGTGAGTGAGTGAAAACCTTTATTTAACTTCGAATTACAGATAGCAAACAACTATGTTAATATCTTCGAAGATAAAAAATAAAAATTAAATAGACCAAACAATTATGTTTAGAAATAAGACATTATAATTTTTAAGCTAAATTACAGAAAGAACAATCACGATTAAATTCAATTCGATTTACAGCTAGTTTAAATGCTCAATTCCTCCAAAATACGCAGCAGGGCAGTCTGACAACTGTAATTCCGACGGTAAACACAAAGATATGGCGATAATTTATCCTCAAAAAATTGTAGAGTTGTTGTGATAGAATACGCTCCATAATGTTGTTAAAGGTGACAAGAACAGTTATGGGTCTGTAATTTTTCTTGAGATATTCAGTATCTTTCTTGAATACTGGCGTCACCTGACCAAATTTCCAACTTGTTGGAAAACAATTGCCGGCAATTGAAGAATTGAAGAGAGCTTGCACAAAGGTCTTGCTAAGATGCTGTTGCCGTCTTTGACCAGCCTTGTAGGAATATTAATCATAACCGATGGCTTTAGAAGCAGGTAGTGACGTAATAATATCCATAACAACAGGCGGAGTAGTATGGTCAAAACTGAAGTCCGCCGAAGGATTACTGTGCGTGAGGCTAGTGATGGTTCTGATACTCTGGTGAAGAAGGAAATCTGGGCCATACAGAGATGGATCAGGTTCAAGAATATTATCAGCAACATGGAGTGGGTGAAGAACTGATTGAATATATCAGCTATGCGTTGTTTATCTGTGATAAACATGTCATGTTCCAAAAGAGTGATATCGTTAGTTCCCTTTTGTTTAGAGTTAAAAAGTGGGCCAAGGAGTCTCCAAAATTCCTTTGGGTTAGATGATAGCTTGTTTGTTTTATGACGAAAATAACCAGTTATGGCTTTCCTCCTCAAAGATGTGCACAAGTTACGTTGTTGCTTGTAAGCTGACCAACTTTCTTCCGTTTTTAAGTTCCTGTATTTGTTCCATAACCTGTTTCTATGTCTGATAGCACGCCTCCATTCTGGGGTCATATAGGGAACTTGTCCACCACGGATGTGAAATTGCTTGATAGGGGCATGTTCGTTAGCAATATCCAGGAAGAGTTTTCCGAATGCCCAGGCATGGTCATCAATATCATCAAAGATTGATGCAATGTGAAAGGGCACAGCAGTCGGGTCTGATACAAATCGTTCTTTATCATATGCTTTATAACTTCTGCATATGCCGGATTTTCCTAGATCGTTTACGAGCGAGAGAGGTTGTCATGACCGTATAAATCAATCTATGATCACTGATGTGAGATTCTAAGGTACCAGTTGACAGGAATCTACCTTTGTTGTTAGTAAGGATCATATCAATTAATGTCTTGGAAGAAGGAGTCGCACGAGTTGATTCCTTAACAAGGCATTCCAGGTTGAAGATGTTACATAAATCCCGTAGATCTCTGCCCTCGCTGCCATTTTTTTCAGGCTGAAGGAGGTCACAATTGAGGTCACCAAGTACTAGTAAATCCGCATCACAGGAGGACAGTGTATATTCTAAAAGCTTACACAGATCTTCCATCCACGAATGCTGGGAGGTCTATAGGCGGATTCATGCTGACGTCATTGTTTACATTTTTGCTCATTTGCATACGGCTTTGCGTAAAGAAGGAAGCATGTTAGATACAAATTGACTTTAGGCAGCCAAAGAGCTAGAAAACCTCAGTCCAAGGTGAAATTTTTAGCTCTTTGGGTGTAATATTCAAGGAGAAATGGTCCATCAAAAACTGCAAAATTTCTGGGTGGCAAAAGCTCTAATGAGCTCATACATTCTATGTAAAATTTTGAGTTTTTAAACCTGTGTTGCACAAAAAGTATTCAATGTATTAGGCTTGTATTCATTGGCCGAGTTAATCGCACTCTGACCCTTCGATATTCAGAACTGATTTATTTTTAGCTCCATCAGAAACTGAATTGCTTATGCTGATGAGGCAAATATTGTAAACAAGGATTCCCCTACAGGCAGCACATACAATAAGCCATAAATTACCGATTTTTAGTTTGATCAAAAGGGCCTCAATACTGGACAACTTAGGAGGTGATTTGCTGTAGTGGAAAATAAGGTCGGAACGCCAGTATATTATGATTCCTCCACCGTGGACTGTTTTATCAAGACGGGTGAATCAGTGTCCATCAATAGTAAGCTGAGCATCCAGAAACGTATGGTCAAGTTTAGTCTCGGTAATGACAAGGACATCAAAAATTCCATTAAGAAACCACGGCTTATTTCATTAAACTCAAAGCCAGCAATAGAGTTTGCATTGATATGAGCAATTCTAAAATTCTTGGGATATTTCTGCAGAAAATCGTCAACAAACGGTGGCGGTAAATTTCCTCTTCGACCGAGCTTGAGTTGGTATCATCACCAGGAGTATCGAGAGCAAATTCTGCAGCAAGATTACTAAGGGTAGTGATTGTAGAGATGATAAACAGGGTAACGATTGTAGGGTAGTGATTGTAGAGATGATAAACAGGGTAACGATTGTAGGGTAGTGATTGTAGAGATGATAAACAGGGTAACGATTGTAGGGTAGTGATTGTAGAGATGATAAACAGGGTAACGATTGTAGGGTAGTGATTGTAGAGATGATAAACAGGGTAACGATTGTAGGGTAGTGATTGTAGAGATGATAAACAGGGTAACGATTGTAGGGTAGTGATTGTAGAGATGATAAACAGGGTAACGATTGTAGGGTAGTGATTGTAGAGATGATAAACAGGGTAACGATTGTAGGGTAGTGATTGTAGAGATGATAAACAGGGTAACGATTGTAGGGTAGTGATTGTAGAGATGATAAACAGGGTAACGATTGTAGGGTAGTGATTGTAGAGATGATAAACA